TAAGGGGTGGGGGGGTCCCTGCGGTGCTGGGATGGGGCTGCAGGGAGGGGCTGAGCATGGCTGGTGGAGGTGCTGCCCCAGGTTTCACTCCTCATCTCGTCCTTCCCTCCAGCTCACAGCAAGGAGATGCAGTTCCTGTTCGTCCTCTCCAGCGTGGCCAAGACCGAGAAGATCCTGACGGCAGAGCTGCACCTCTTCCGCCTCTGGCCGAGGGTCACAGATGGACCCAAAAGGCACCACTTCTGCCAGGTGAGGAGGGCGATGGGGCGGGGATGGGGCTGTCCCCCAGCCTGTGCCCAAGGGTGCCACTGGCACGCTGTGGTCATTGTCCCCCAACCTGTGCCCAAGGGTGCCACTGGCACACTGTGGTCATTCGCCCGCAGTGGGAGCACAGCCCAGCTCTGGGATCACACGAGCAAATGTTTCACGGAGTATCACAATGATTTAACCGTGGTGGGCTCTTAAATGTCCTTCTGGTACGTGCAAACATCAGCAAAGGCACCTGAAGGCTGTGACAGATCCACGCTGGCAGTTCCCCATCTCTGCTCACGCCTCTGTCCGTGGTCATCCCCTCAGGCAGGACCTTTTTCCTCCCCCAGGTCAGCGTCTACCAGGTGCTGGAGAAGGAAAACCCAGACAGCCCTGGAGGGAAGAAGCTGCTGGCAGCTCGGCTTGTCTCACTTCAGACCTCGGGCTGGGAGGTCTTTGCCATCACGCCGGCTGTGAGTTACTTCCCCCTGTTTAGGGCAGCCCAGAGAGAACACCAGGGGTTTCCATGCAGGAGCTTTTTTAACCCATTTCACCCCCAGCAGCCTTCTGGGCTCCAGTGCAGTTTCCTGTCTGCAGTCTCTGCAGTGACATGGGAGGGACACATCCTCTGGGAGGGGAAGGCAAGAGTCCTGCCAGGTGCCCTGGGGACTGCTCCATCCTGCCCCAAACTGGTCCTACTGTTCCTCAGGGAGTGCCAGTGCTGGCTCCTGCCACAGTGTCCCCTGGGTGGCAGCCCTGGAGCAGCCTCTTCCCGTGGCACACAGCGTGTGGCCTCGGGGGGTCCTGGTTCACCCCCCGCTCCAGCCTGGCCCCTGCCGTGGGGACACCAGCGCAGTGCCCGTCCCAGCCCACGGCCCTGCGGTGACACCAGTTTGGCTCCCCAGGTTCGTGACTGGACCGAAGACGAAAGCAGCAACCAGGGTTTGCTGGTGACAGTCCAGAGTCTGGGGGGGAGCCCGCTCGACCCCCCACCACTGCAGTTTGCCTCTGGCCGGGACCACCACGAGAGCAAGAGGCCCCTGTTGGTGCTGTTCACAGACGACGGGCGCCGGGGAGCGTCGCTGCCCACGGGCGGCTTCCCAGGTGGGTCCCACGTGCCCTGGCACGGCTCCCTCGGTGCCACCATCCCTTTCCTGGGGTGCTGCCCACACGTGGCGTCCTCGACCTCCGAAGCTCTTGCTCGGCCAAGGCCGAGGCTCTCTCTTCTGTTACCCGCGCAGGGGTTCTGCCTGCTTGGGGATGTGGAGCTGGATTTGGGTGTGGCTTCTGCCTGCTTGGGGATGTGGAGCTGGATTTGGGTGTGGCTGTGAGACTGAGGCTGTCACCTCCTGATGGCTCTGCCTGGGCTGGTGACCGGCTGTGACCAGAGGGCTGCAGACAAGACCCACAGGGAGGGGTGGCCTGGGGGGCTGCAACACCTTTTCTCTTTACCTGGGCTCGTGCAGTGGCTAATGGCATTGGATGCTCCTTTCTGGCAGATTTAAAGCCTCAGGCCCCCGATCTCCCCGCCAGGGTGCCGGTGCCCAAACCAGCCGGGTCGCGCAGCACGCGCTCGCTGGACCGGCTCCGGCCCTGCCAGAGGCATCCCCTGTCCGTGGACTTCGAGGAGATCGGCTGGTCGGGCTGGATCATCTCCCCTCGGGGGTACAACGCCTTCCACTGCAAGGGCTCCTGCCCCTTCCCGCTGGGCGAGAACATGCGGCCCACGAACCACGCCACGGTGCAGTCCATCATCAACGCCCTGAAGCTGAGCGAGGGCGTCAGCAGCCCCTGCTGCGTGCCCGACAAACTGCACTCCATCAACCTCCTCTACTTCGATGACGACGAGAACGTGGTGCTCAAGCAGTACGACGACATGGTGGCCGGGAGCTGCGGCTGCCACTGAGGCGGGAGGAGCAGGGAGGTGGAAATGCTGGCACAGCAGAGGCTGTTCTGCTCCCTCCAGAGCGTCAGTGTGGGGCCTTTGTCCCACAGACCCTCTAAAAGAATCCAGGGTGAGCAGAGCAAAGGGGGTGCTGGCTCTGCCCCGGGTGGTGTCACCCCCTGGCAGTGCCCGGGAAGGCTCAGGGCCAAGCTCTGATTGAATCAATCTGGATGAGCCTGTGTGACTTGGCAGCCCCGGGGCAACAGCTCCATTTCGGGGTGTCCTGCGTGGGGGTGTGGGTGTCCCTGCCCGTGCAGAGGCTCCCGCAGGCTGTACTATATGTATATAGCAAGAGCACTAATATATGACAGAAACTGCCTGTACAGTGTCCTGTAAATGTCTGTACATTCCCACCTTGCTGTGACTTGTGAAATGAATTCAGAGGAACTATTAAAAGTGCCGTTCTCCGAGGGCTGCCTGTGGACTCTGAACTGCTGCTGGGGACGGGGCTGGCCATGGACCTGGGATGGGGGGTGCATGAGGAGGGGCTGCATGCAGATGGATGAAGATTCAGCCACAGCCCAGTCTCCAGGGGCAAGGGGTAGAGGTTGGTGCACCCTATTCCTTGGAAGCTGAATGATCTCAGGATCCATCAGCCAGCCTGCAGTGGGGGGGGTACTGGGAGGGGCACACCCTCTGAGCAGGCAGTGGGGGGTGTGGGGGCAATGGGGTGACAGGGTCTGGGATTGGGGTGGGGGGTGATGCAGAGGTGTCTGGAGGTGATGCTGCTGGGGCAGATGGGACGTGGGTGTCGTGGTTTAACTCCAGAGGGCAACTAATCACCACACAGCCACTGGCCACCCCCACTGTGGTGGGACGGGGAGGAGAATCAGAAAAAAACAGGTAAAACCTGTTGGTTGAGATAAGGACAGTTTAACAAGGGAAATAAAATAAAATAATATATAATAATATTTGTTATGAAAAGGGAGACACCAAAAAGGGAGAGAGAAATAAAACCCAAGTAAAACAAGAGATGCTCAGTACAGTGATTGGCCCCAGCAGTGATTGGCCCCTCCTGGGCAGCTCCCCCAGTTTATACACTGGGCAGAACTTTCTGTGGCATGGAATATCCACTGGCTGCTTTGGGTCAGCTGTCCCAGCTGTGCTTCCCCCAGCTTCTTGTGCAGCTCCTCACTGACAGAGCATGAGGCACTGAAAAGTCCTTGACTTGGGGTGAGCACAAATGAGCCACAACCAAAACATCAGTGTGTGATCGACATTATTCCCATCCTGAATCCAAAATGTGGTGTTGTACCAGCCACTGGAAAGAAAATTAACTCCATTGAAGCTGAAATGAGGACAGGGGGGAAGGGTGGCTCTGGGGGAAGATGGCCAGAGGAGATTGTTGGGCCCAGAAAGAAGGTTCCTCATGGAAGAGAAATGGGGTGGAAACCAGAGCTGACCAGCACTGTGGGGTCAGGTCAGTGCTGGGGAGGTGTACAGAGGGTGGGTGTCAATGTGGGTTCTGGGGAGTGGGTGTAGGTGTTGGCAGACAGGGTAGGGGTCCTCTCACACCCCCTGGCACAGCCCCCTTGTCCCCTGCAGTCCAGGGCTCAGTGGGAGCATGGTTGTCCCTGCCAGACCACTCAGACCCTCCCAGCCTGTTTCCAAGCTTAGCCATGGTTCCCCAGCACCTCTTCATCTCCAGCCTGCAAGTGACTGAATCCCACACTGGCCTGGCCAGCACCAGTTTCCTCCCCCTGCCCACCTGGAAGCAGCACCAGCAGCTTTGGCCCTTTCCCACCCCAGCCCTCCCTCAGCCCGGGGTCCCTCTCCCCATCCCACCCAGGGGAAGGGTGCATCCATTCAGGAGGCCCTTTGACTAGACATGATCCCACATTGGAGGGCAAATCCTTCCCCTGTGTCCCCCAGATGTGTCCCCCACTGCCTCCCCATGATGTGAGCACAGGGCAGAGCCCACTGGCGTGTCCTGAGCATATGCACATCTCAGCTCCTCTTCCAATGCACCCAAACCCAGGCAGCTCATCCCAAACCCCCCTACATGTGGACAGGCTCACCTGCATCCCTGAGAGCCCTGTCCTCACGTTGATGGGCAGGAGAGATGCTGTGAGCCTTGGGGAGATGTCCCCTCCTCACCCAAAAGATGAACAGTTTACTGAATCACACAGAGTGGCTGGCCAAGAATCCACAACAATGAAGGGTTTGGGCCTGGTTTATTAAATGCCTGTTCCTGGGCTACAAGGTCTGCACCCCCACAGGTCCCATCACAGCAGCATCCCGAGGAAGGACTGTGCCCCCAGGCTCCATGGCAGTGGGAAGGAGAGTGGGTTTGTCTGGAAGTGTGCATGGCTGCAGCCTTTCCTGCAGACCTTCACCCAAATTTCCAAGCTAGACTTGGCCTGGACTGCTCATCTGCTTGGCTGGAAGGGAGTCACAGAGCCCTGGGCAGGGGGAGCCTGTGCATGTTCCACTCGACGGGGAGAAGAGCAGCACCTGGGCAGGTGTCACAGTGGGCCACCATCCTCAGACAGGTGACAGTTCAGCCCCACACATCCTGCTGCTCACTCCCTGGGATTCCAGGGTGCCCCACACCTCGGCCCATACAGACAGACACACAGACACCCTGCCCTGAGACAGCTCCTGAGGCGGCTCTGACTGACAGCTCTGCAGGACAGTGGCCAGCACACAGCAGGGAGGGGGGCCCAGCTGGCAGTGGCCCCTGTGGCCACAGCAGAGCCCTGCACGCTGCTGTGACTCACTGCCCATGGTTCAGAGCCTCCCTGGAGGACAGGACCTGCTGGTCAGGACAGAGGGCAGGGGGTGTCCGGGGGTGGGGGGCCTGTGGTCAGCGGCGATAGCGGGGGTCGGCTCTCCAGCACTCCGACAGCTTCCGCAGGACTCGCTCCTTCAGGTGGACCCTCCTGGAGAGCTGCTGTGACTGGCTTAGCTCATGAGCCTTCAGCTTGGCATAGTAGTCAGAAAACTTGTTGTAGAGGATGGAGATGGGCATGCCATTGAGGATGATGCCAAAGGAGATGCAGACAAATGCCACCATCCTGCCGAGTATTGTGTCAGGCACGGTGTCTCCATAGCCCACGGTGGAGAGGCTGACCTGTGTGAGGATGGGAAAAGATAAAATCCCACGGGGAACAAGCCCAGCAGACCCCACCAGATGGTGCTGGGACTCACCCGCCCGCCCCTCTGTGGGAGCCAGGTGTCACCTGGAGCAGTGTTACCCAGTGACAGCAGCCAGGTGTCACCTGGAGCAGTGTTACCCAGTGACAGCAGCCAGGTGTCACCTGGAGCAGTGTTACCCAGTGACAGCAGCCAGCTCAGCTGTCCCCACTCCTGCAGTCTCCATGGCCAGGGCTCTGTGCCCGGGAGGCCTGGAGAGCACAAGGGTGGAGTGCTGCTGGCTGAGCCCCAGAGCAGAGATCAGAGGTCAGACCTCTCTCTGCTCCGTCCCTGCTTCGCATGTGTCTCTTCAGGCCAGCTGGACACCCCGAGCTGAGCCCTCCCCAGCAGTCAGTGTCTGCTGCAGCTTCCTGCCCCCGCAGAGCTGCGGCTCCAGCGCTTCCCGCCCGGGAGCTGCCCAGTCCCGCAGGAACAAGTCTTCCTGGAGCCTCCATCCAAGGGAAGCAGGCACTTGGGAACAAGGTGAGAGCTGAGGCAGAGAGGTTTGGGCTTTGCAGGGAGCTGTGCTCCCAGGGACAGGCTCGGCCCGGGACATTGAAAGGCTCGAACCTGGTGATGCTGCTGAGTGATTTTGCCCTTCCTTGAGGAGGGATGAATTTGAAGCAGGCAATCTGTGGTGGCCAAGGGGGCAGAAGTGATCTGTGGGATCATTTAATCTGTAAATCAAAATGCCCTTGTAACCCCTGGGGTTTAAGTGCTTTAGATACTCCCCATTTCGGAGTCAATCCCAGGTTTACTATAGTGCTCAGCTCAGCTGAGCTGCTGGCTCCTGGCACAAGCAGGGCAGCAAACAGGGGCAGCACACCCCAGTCTGTGTCCTCTCTCAGGACACAGACCGAGGCACAATGTGACCATGGGTCCCACATGCAGCCCCGGGTCCCCCATCTCAGCCTCACAAGCTCTGACCCCCTTGTGCCTCCCAAGCCCAGCTGGGCTGTGATGCTGCACAAGCCTCAGGCTGCCCTGAGTGGGTGCCCCCATACCCATGGGGGCTGAACCACATCCACCCCACACTCGGGTCCCATGACAGATAAAGCCTGGGCTGAGTCACATCCCCCTTGTCACTAACTCAGGCCTGGAGGTTCCTAGGCCACCACCTCTGTCCCACCATCCCACCCCAGCGCTAGCTTTTGAGCCTCTGAGCTCGATCCCAACCTCTGATTTCTTTTCTCAAGGCACGCAGGGCTCTGGGTTTCCCGACGTTACTGGGCTGGTAGGAGGGCTGGGCCCCTCCTGCCCCCTGGCCTGCAGCAGTGGTGAATCCCCCGAGCAGCAGGGCAGCCCCTACCCACGGAGCCCCCTGCCCCCCTCTCTGGAAGGAGCTGTGCAAACCTTACCGCTGCCCACCACCACGCACAGGGGATACTGGTGAAGTCCGTGCCGGGGACATCGTGTTCCACCGAGTGTATGAGGGCGGAGAAGGTGAAGACACCCATGGCAATGAAGAGGAGGAGGCAGCAAACCTGCTGGTAGCACTGGCGCATGGTGAAGCTGAAGGCCCGGAGGCCGGTGGAGTGGCGCGCCAGCTTGAGGATGCGGAAGATCCTCATGAGCTTGACGAGCTTGAGGACCTTGCCCAGCTTGCTCACATTCTCCACCTTGTGCAACTCCTCGTGGTAAAGCGTGTCTGCTTCGTCCAGGTTTTCGAAGAGGAGCTGGATGTAGAAGGGCAGGATGGCCACCAGGTCTATGGCATTAAACGCTGCCCGCAGAAAGATCTTGAAGCTGGAGGAGGAGATGAGCCGCATGAGGTATTCAGAGGTGAAGAAGATGGCACAGATCATCTCCATCTGCTCCATCCACATCTTCCCTGTTTTGTTTTTCATCTCCTCCACTGTGCTCAGTGTCATGCCCACAATGGAGATAAGCACAAAGAAGCTCGACATGACAGCAATGATCTTGGCTGGGACGGAAGAGTACGGGTTCTCAATGAGGTTCCAGATCATCTTCCGAAACCCACCCAGAAATTTGCCATCAAACTGATTCCCCGAGTCCAGGGGCTCCAGTTCTGCCTCCAGCTCCTTCTCTATTTTCAGGTACTCATTGAGTTCATCTTGCTTTTCCTCGAACAGGATCCGGCAGCAGCGCTGGGAGTATTTCAGATGGATCCCCCAGTACTCGATTTCCTCCACAAAGTTACTGGGGCACATCTCGTCCATCACCCACAGGACCCCACTGCGGTAGAAGTGGAAGATGTAGTGGAAGACCGAAGGATCTCTGTCAAAGAAGTACTCGTTCTTCTGCACCAAGTAGTCATCGCAGAGCTGCATCTTCTTGGCGGGGTCCGTATAAAGGGCCAGCTTCCCCAGCCTCGTGATGGGGTACTGGGCCAGTACCTTGCAAGCTATCTGGAACGACTTGCCACCCACGTTGATGTTGAGCAGGTACTTGTTCCTTTGGATGGGAGCCTCGCTCTCCTCGTTTCCCTCTGCCACGTTCTGCATGGAGCTCCATTGTTTCACCAGGCTGTCCTGCGCGAAGGGGATGTGCACTGCCTCCTCCTCCAGGGTCCGGCGGCGGCCCTGGTGATCCCCTATCTTCAGGCTGGCTGAGAGACTCGCCCGCCTGGTCCCCAGCTGCCTCATGGTGCCTGGCCCTCGGGAGCCGTGACTCCTGTTAGGGGCCGGGGCACAGCAGCTCCGGCTTCATGGGAACGCTCCCGCTGGGCACACGCTGGCTGGGATGAGTGCTGCGAGCTCGGAGGAGCCGTGGAGCGGCTGCCCGGGGGGCACTGCCGTGTCCTGGTGCCACGTGGCACCTGCCAGGGTCCCAAAGCCGATTGCTGATCAGATTGTGGTTCGCGTCGCGGGAGTCGGAGGCGGCCAAGCGCCCGCTCCTTAAGACACTAATGGGATTGAGGCACTAGTCCTTTATGTAAGGAACTATTTCCAGACCTGCACTTCTCTTCTCCCTTATTCTGTTCTTATTAGCTGTTTGCATTTGCCACACGCTGCCTGTTTCCTAGAAGGACATCTGTGATAGCAAGTTGGAAGGAGCACGGTCTTGCCTCAGTTTACCCCTGCCAGCCCTGCCTTGGTGGGACAGGAAGGTGCAGACACGCAGGATTTGTAGAGGCTTTGTACCCCCACACCAGATGCTGCTCTTGGCACCGGCCCTTCGTTAAGCACTAATGCAGTTGCCCCGGCTCTGTCAGCTGTCACAGCCAGAGAAGGGAGATGGTCGTGACCTCCCAGCTCATCCCTCAAGCCCCACAGTGCAGATTTACAGGGGATGAGGTGAAGGAACCACTTCAGTCTCCACGCAGTGCCTGAGCAGATCCCCTGTGGGACAGGTTGCTCCTGTGGCCCTGCCCTGTGCCATCACATCAGCCTTCAGCCCCACCAGTCCCACAAGCAGGGGCAGAACAGGGAACAGGACACTGAAAATGCAAGTAGGCAGTAAAAGTTCCCCTGAACTACTGGAACTGAAAAGGAGGAAATAATCCTTTGGATTTCCAAGTAAAAGGGGAACCAAAATTAAATAGGCTTATCTTTGAGGCCTTACCTTGGAACATGACCTTGCTTCAACATGTAAAACTGATCACACTGATCTCTATGAACTGGTCTAATTAAATACAGAGACCTGGAGCACAAAGCTGCTCCTGGCCCAAAACCAGCTCGGGCTCCACTACAATTGAAGTTTCTGAGCCCTGGGATTAGGACAACAAAAATACTTCTGGCATCAGACAGAGGAAGGGAAATTGCTGTCACAAAACATAGATCTTGTTTTGGCACAAGATCCAGAAAATATGTTTCTTTCAACCCTGAAGCACTTGGCTCAGGGAGCAGTAAACTAAACCTGCAAGGTCTTGTGAGTTTGCCTCCAGGCCTCGCTCCTCATTGAACAGAGCGAGGGCTCTGCCCCACACTAAGACCAGCCAGGCTCAGCCTGGGCTCAGCTCGGCAGCTGGAGCTCAGAGGATGATCTGGGACCGGCTGGTGACAGCTGACTTTGGCCACCTGACCCCGACAGCACCAGCACTTCTACAGCCCCCAGCTCAGCCCTGTCCTGCTGGGACTCCTGGAGTCCCTCCTGCTCTACAGGATTCCCCACTCCGTGCACTGCTCTGACAAAGAAGGGACAAGTTCAGGCAGTTTTTTCACCTTGTTCTAGGTTGAACTCCCCACTTGTCCCCTGTTTGGCAACAGCACTCCTAGTGCCAGTGCCATCTGTTCCTCCTGTCCCCACCCTCTCCATTCACTCTGCTCCCTGTATTTCACTCTTCTGCTGCAGCTGGTGTGTGCTGGAGTCATGTCCATCCCAGGCAGGCACAGCAGCACTTGCTCCCCCTTACTGGCCATGCCAGCCCACCCACCACAAATCCTCTTTCCCAGGATGTGACAATCCAGTGGTGATGCAGCCCCTGAACTCCCAACTACTGAATTTAAGCAAATGCACAAGTCCAGGAAAATTAAAGACTCGAGAAGTCATTGGTTTCACATTCTTTATTCTCCTGTGTCAGTTACAACAGCTATTCCCACCTGGCCCTATGGAAACAGAAGCAAGGTTGTGCACCCTTGCAAATAACTCCTTGGTACTAAAAATAGCAGCCCTGGAATAACTCAGGACTCCACACCACATTTAGAAGTTTCTCCCATGGGGTATGGCAGCACTCACACGCTATCCAGGAGTGGAAGATCCCTGCTCCAAGGCTGATGACTGGAGTCTGCTTGGCAAGACAAGTTCCCACCCTCAAGGCACACAGGTCAGCAGCCAAGGCAGCAGCTTTGTGCACTGAGTGAACATTTGTGCAAGGTGCACGTGGCCCAAGGGCACCAGGCACTAATCTGCCCCTGCACAGCCAGTTCCAAGGCACACAGCACTGAGCCCTTTGGCTGGAGCTCCATGTGCCACACAGTGTCTGACCCAAGATGTGGCTTATTTCAAAGGACACCTTCACCAGACCAAGGTGCTCAGAGCCCTGTCCAACTTGGCCCCAGGAATGGGGCAGCCACAGCTGCCCTGGGCAACCTGTGCTGGAGCCTCACCACCCTCACCATAAGACCTTCCTTCCCCTTCTCCCACCTAAACCCAACCTCTGTCAGTTTGTAATTGCTGCCCCCTGCCCTGTCACTACAGACCTTGGTGAAAAGCCTCTCTCCATCTATCTTACAACCCCCCTTTAGACGGGGACAAGACACAACACAGTCTCACGGAGCTGTCTCTTCTCCAGCAGCTGCCCTGATGAAGGTGCAGGACCTTGCACTTGACCTTATGGACCTTCAGGAAGTTCCTGTGGGCCTGAGGGTCTCTCTGGATGACATCCCCCTCTCCCAGCTGCACTCTGCAGCCTGGTCTCATCCTCACACTGGCTGAGGGTCCCCCTTGATCCCACTCTACACACCACTGATGAAGACATGGGATAGCACTGGTCCCAGTACGGACCCCCAAGAGACATCACTTGTGTCAGAACAGTTTTAAGGAAGACACCATTAACAGTGTTAGAGGAGCCACAGCCAGCATTCAGCACCGGGGTGGGCAGAGCAGGTCAGTAAAGAGTGGAGGTGTTTGTGTGAGGGAGTGTGTGAGGAGCTGCCTGCCTGGGGGCCGAGGAGCTCCTGGCCCCACACTGGCCTGGGTGACAGCACAGCAAAGTGAGAGCAAACAGGAAGATTTTAACTGTTACCTTGTGGTAGAACCGTCAGTAAAACCCACCTGTTGTGGAACTGAGCAGCATCAAACACTAGTGCAAACATGGAATATCTGTCTGGTCTGTGCAGAGTCAGTGAGCTCCTATGGAAACGGGTTAGGAAGCCACTATTCCCTGACAAAATCCAGGGGGAAGAATGGAGCAGGTCAAAAAAAGGTTCTTGGCTAGGAGTAGAAGGAAAACAGTGAATAGCATCTGGCACTTCACAAAGAAAAACATCTTTGGGTTCAAGGCCACGCTAGTGGGAATCAGCATTAACAACTGGAGCTCAGAACAATGAAGACATTCCTACTACCTTTGTGAGGGCTGATTTCACAGTGCCAGGGAAGATCCTGTGCTATTTCCAGAGCCAAAGTAGTCCCACAGTCTAAGACCTATTTCCAAGGGGAGCATCCTCTTGGTATTCAGTGTAACAACCCAGATTTGAGAGCTGATGTCCAATTCAGTCAGGCTGTGTGGTGAGCATGAGAGAGACCAGGCTAGTCCCACCTCGTCACCTCAGTGTAAAGATCCCTGTTACCAAAACAGAAAAACACCTGGTTACTGACAGTCCTTGGAGCAAAAATCTGGTTTGACTTCAGTTAGTGCAAAGCAAAAGAAAGAAACACACATCAGAAGATCAGTATCTTAGTATGGGTGCTCCATGTCCTTGGCAGCAGAGGAAAAGGGAGAGTTCTGCTGCTTCAGGGCAGATTGAAACCCCCAGCACCACTTGGCTGATCAGCAGCAGGAAAGCTGGGAAAAGCAATTCCTGGAGGGGAAAGCTCTAGAGGCCAGAAACACAGGGAAAGAAGGCATTTTTCCCTCAGGCACACAGAGCTCATGGGTGCAAGACACTTACCCTTCAGGGAAAGGAGCCTGTCTGGCTCTTGTCAGACATAAGCTGTTCCCTGGATGCTTTTTCAAGACTGACGGTGTTAGATCGGCTTTTTGCTTTGAACAGGCCCCACACAGCAACAGAACCTGCAGCTACCAGGATGCTGAGGAGCCCTGGAGAGGAGAATGCACAAGCAGAAACTCACTGACTGCCCCGGTCTGGGCATCAGGACTGGGCCCTGCTGCTCAACACCACGAGCCAACAGCCAGAGATGAGCAGCTTCCCTTGAGGGCAAAGGACAGACAGAGGGGAAGTGAGTTAGTGCCAGATCGCATGGCATGGCCTTTCCAAGGACACAGCACAGCCAAGGCAGAGCAATAATTAAGCTGTGGTGTCCAGCCTCCCTCAGCCCACCCAGCACAGCAAAAGCAGCTACTTATACAGGTCTGGAATTGATTCCATCAAGATACTCAATTTACAGCCCATGGCAGGACCAAGACCACATGCAGCACTCTGAGTCTCACATACCTGCAACAATCAAGATCCACGTGTAACCTTGACTCCTCGATGGCACAGAGACCCCAGGCTCAGGAGTAGCTGAAGCCTCTGTGAGGAAAGAGAGACAAGTCCATCAGGCTTCCAACTTACCTTACAATCAGCCCTCAAAGCAACCTCCAACCCACACCTGTCTGAGTTCCCAGCTCACCTCGAGAGTGCCAAAAGGTCATTTTCAATTTATCTGCCGCTGTGATTAGCCCACATTGGAGGAAAAAAGTCCTACTGGAAACGCTAACAGTGAAAGCTGGGATATTTCCCAGCTGGAGCTGCAGCATCTCGACCTGTCCTCAAGACACTGGGAGGCCACAGGTACAACCAAAACACAGCTCATCTCCCCACCTGCCAAGTGAACTGGTGCAGGCACCAAACCCACACCCAGTTCTGTCACCCCTGCAGTAACGCCCCTCCTCTCCACACTCATGGTGCTGCAGTTCCCGGACACCACGGAAACCCCCGGGTAAGGGAAGCCAGAACAGCACTTCCAGGCACAAAGAACACCCCACGGAGCCGAGCAGCAGGCGCCGGCCGTGCTGGGCGTGCAGACACTGCCCGGACACCGGACGGCCCAGAGCTGCCTCCCTCATCCTCATCCTCCTCCTCATCCTCTTCCCCTCAGCCTGCCCATTCCCCAGGGATCAGAGGAGCTCGGGAGGCAGACAGACTCCAGTGCCGCCGGCTCGCTGGGAGGGTTGCGTGTTCTGGAAGAAGGAAGCGGGTGCTACAAAGGCGCTTCCCGAGGAAGCCCCGGGGGGCGTCAGCGCCGTCCCAACCGGAGGCGGCTGAAGGTGGGGGTCTCCCGCAGCGCTTCCTCCACCCACAGTGACCCGCAGCTGCCCCGGAGAGGCCGGAGACGGCGGGGAACAAAGGCTT